ATAAATTATATAAATTAATACGTTGCATTTAAATGCAATACTTTATTTAAAGAAATATATTTCATATATATATATATATATATTATCTTTAACTTAAACAAAAAAATAAAACTTATCTCTTATATGGAATTAACTCTAAATCGAAGATAAGGTTGAATATTATCTAAAAGAAAATTTGAAGAACGTTACAAACAAAAAGTATATTTCACAAATTCTAAACTTAAACGATCAATTAATTACAAACGATAGTTTTTCAAATAATTCCCAAACTATTAAATATAACAAATGACTTTTTCAATCATAGATAACGATTCATAACAAACTGATCAATCAAAGGTAAACAAATCAAAATTGGAATCATTTTGTTAAAGTAGTTGAATTTCGTCTAATGGTGTGAGGGAATGAAAATAAAAAATGAGGAAAAGGATGGGTGATTGGGGAAAGAGATGGGTGATTGGGGAAAGAGATGGGTGATGGAAGGGATGGTAAAAGAAGAAGAAGAAGAAGAAGAAGAAGAAGTGGGTGTGGGTAAAAGGAGATTATTAATTCGAGCGTGCAAGTTCTCTCTTGATCGAAACTCAGCTCGTCGAGCACGCAACCCTCTTAAGAGGAAAGCTCGACTCCTGGGTCGAGGCTATCGAGTGCATTCCTCTGCAACTCTCGACAACTTTCTAAGGGCGACGTATACATATATATATGTATGTATATATACATTAAATACAAGCTTATACATCACTTATATACAAACTATACATTCATTCATACAGATATAAATATAACTGTTGTAATTTCATTTATTTTTATTATAGGAACATACAAATATTTCAATTGGCCAATAAATAAAGGACAATATTTGTTATATATATGAAATATATTTCTTTAAATGCAATTATGTTCAATATATATACCAATGAAAAATAATATTACATTTATTATTTATTATACAGGGGAAAATATTTATTTTAGTAGACAATATGAATATGCAAATATTTTAATTGGGTAATAAGTAAGGAAACATATTTTATTTATATTTTTATTTAAATATATTTGTTATATTTATATTTCTTTAAAGAAAATATTGCATTTAAATGCAACGTATAATAATACATTATAATTATATTATATTTATATTACATTTATGTTATATTAATTTATAGTATATTAATATTAAATTAATATTAAATTAATTAAATAGAAAAATTGACTGAAAAAATATTATGAAATATCATTGAATATCTGTCATTGTTAAAAATAATTTTCAGTAGATATTAACAACAAAATATCTATATAATTTATTAAAAATAAACAACCCTTTAATTATTGGTCAATATATTATTCGTACGAGTATTAAATTGAAAACTCAACTTTCTTCTATGGGGGCCCATTACGTACCTACCGCCTACTTTTCGAGTAATCGTGTTCTGACCATGAGTGTTCTGAGTGTTCTCTTGGAAATAGTTGATTGAACGTGGGTGGAGTTTCCACCATTTTTCTTATTCGTCGAAAATAACAAAGTTGATGATGTATTTGATGTATTTTAAATTACAAACTAATTAATGTTTTCATAGAATTTAAAAGAAATTAATTTTTCCATATATTTTCCAAGATATTTTCTTAGTTAAACAAATATATTTCGTTAAATTTATCAAAATATTTAGAAATAATTAATTATTATATTTAAATTATTTACAGTTTTTTTTTTTTTTTTTAATGTTCTTTTTCTCATTCTTCTTCATCGTCATCTTCATCATCTACTTTTATGAAATTCATGAAAGAAAACAAACCAATTTTTCTTTTCTCTCTTTATTGTTTTTATTTTTATTTTTTTTTTAATCATCAAAAGCAAGACTAACGGTTCTATAAAAGTTGAAGTATGTCTTTCGAAGTTAAACGGAAGTCGTAAGAAGAGGTAACATCGCGTTCTTGGTGGAATAAGGAAGCGATAACGACGGCAAAAGTGTTCAAAGCTGTTCAAAGCTTATAGTAGTAGTAGTAGTAGTAGTATGAGTGAACCCAAAGTAAAAGGTAGAAGAAACCTTGGGTGTCGAGAGTTGTTGGTTTGTTGTGTGTCTCTATGTATGTGTCTGTGTTAAAGGCTAATTTCGTTGAAATTTTCTTCAAGAGAAATAGAATAGAATAGAAGAGAGTCATTCTCGTCGGATCGTTAAATCTTCTCTTCGTTTTCTTGAGTATTCGATTCATAATCATAATATATATTTTTGTTTCTATTATTTATTGGACACCGTATATATAAAAACGTCATTTTCAATCACCTTACTATTCCTAATTTCATAGAATAAAATTAGAATATTTATTTTATTTTATTTTATTTTATTTTATTCTGATTTTATTTCATAAATAAAATCACAAATAAAATCCTTAAATTTCATATCCCATTTATTGTAAATAATTTATAAATAATTTTTATATATTAAATAATATTAATTAACAACGTGTTTATCCCTTAACGTAAAATAATTTGACAAAGTTAACAATAATTAACAACAACAACAATTATAAAATATCATAGGGAATTATTTTTCTAATTAATTTGAAATTCCTAAAATTTCTTGTAATTTTATGAATGGAAATAAAATAAAATAAAATAAAATGAGAAACAATAATAATAATAATAACAATAATAAATATATCAAAAGAGTATGAAAAAAGAATTTAAAAAGTTTACAATTAAATAAACAAACAAATAAATAAATAAATATATTCAATATAATAAATCAGTGAAGTATAAGAAATAAACAGAATAAATCCCCTCCCCACCCCTACAAACATTCTGAGGTACCAATAGAAAGAACGGGCCTTATTACAGTGACTGACTGACTGAGTGGAGGGGGAGAAGCGAGAGAAGGGAGAAGATAGGAGGGGTGGGAGGGCTGGTGGGGATGCTGTGAGGTGCAAGAGAGTAGTCGACGGGCGAGAGTGGACGGACCGCATACCACCACTACCACTACTATCATAAATACAACACAATCATACCTATACCACCATCATAAAATACAACAACACAACCATACCATCACCATAAGTACAAGTAACCATCACTAACCAGCAACACAGAGTACCAACACTCTTTAGAGTAAGAAAGACAACTCTCTCTCTCTCTCTCTCTCTCTCTCTCTCATTCTTTCTTTTATACACACATACATATACACATATACATGTATGTGTGTGTTCTGTCCTTTCCTTCTCTTTCACCATATCTTTCTTTTATTACACACATACAACACATCACTTTTATACACACTTATACAATACTAACTCACTCACTCACTTACTATAAGTGTGTTGTTGTTAGTGTATCTGTGTGTGTGTTTGTGTCCCTTTCCTTCTCTTTCACCATATCTTTCTTTTATACACACATACAACACATCAAGTTAATACACACATATACAACACATCACTTTTATACACACTTATACAGTCACTCACTTATTTAGTATGTGTGAGTTTGTTATCTGTGTATGTGTGTTGCTTTCCTTCTCTTTCACCATATCTCGTTCCTTGTTTCTCTTATAGGATCGTGACTTATTCACGGGGGCCGCCTTCCCACAGAGAATTCTCTCTCTCTCTCTCTCTCTCTCTCTTTCTCTTTGAGTATTTTTTTTCTTTTTCTCTTTTTCTTTCTCTAACTCCGAGAGAGCGCTTCTTATTTCTCGTTATACGCTGTAAGAGGAGAGGTGCATCGGGCGTTAGAGCTCGCGAAATGCCAGTGATTCGATGCTACTTCGAGCGAACGTATCGTTTCTTAAACGTTTAGTATTATTTTAGTGAAGTTTTTTTAGTTTTTGTTTTTTTTTTTTTTTAAACTAAATCATTATTACACACATACATACATATATATATATATATTTTTTTTGTGAACAGTTATACGACGAGAGATACTGTAAAACTTTGCTTAAATTTAAACTTATCAGTTTCTTTTTCATTCTTTCGTATATATATATACGTGTATATGTGTGTATATTAGTGTGTTGTGTATTATAGGTGATTGCGCGCGCATTAAAGTAACCCACGCTCTTTCATATATATATATACATATACAGTTTACTTGAAAATATCAGTACAGACTAGTATGTGTTAGTGATGGTGTGCCCACTTTGGAAATAAGTTGGTTGGGTTGGTTGGGTTGGTTGGTTGGCCGGTGTGGCTCGAATTAAATTCGTCCTCGAGACACAAACGATCGAAGATTTTAAACCAAGGATGGAATTATTGATTATCTTATTTGAAAAATAATTTATCTTTAAATCTACAGAGTTTTATTTATCTCTCAGATAATACTAAGAAAAAAGTTATTTTTTTTAAATCAAATACACTAAGTAACATTTTGAAAGAAAAAGAAAGAAAAAAACAACACTAATTAAAAAAAAAATAATAATAATAATTAATAAATAATAATTAAAAAATGTTATCATAATTGTTATATAATAATTAATAAATAAACAAATAAAACACATTAATTAAAATAATATATTTGATTGAAACTAATTGATGCTAAATTTATCAAACGATTGAATAAAATTAAAATAAAATTAAATTATTTGTTAAATAATATAATTGTTTAAAACAAATAGTTGACATCAATGATAATTTAAAAAAAAAAACAATAAAATAATGTTAGAACCAAGAATGATTATGCTCAAGAGAGAGAATGAAGAAGAAGAAGAAGCTGGTGCTGATGCTGGTGGTGGTGGTGATGATGGTGAAGGAGGTGAGGTAGACACCATAGCATTGAAAAAGGAAAGCCCATGGTGATTCGCGACTGGAAGACCTCGGCGTTGCACCTTAGGATAGCAGAAAACGTTTTCTGTACGAGAGAGTAGTAGTAGTAGTAGTAGTAGTAGTAGTAGTAGTTGAGAAGGGTTTCTGAGGGAAAGAGGTGGGGAACAAGAGATTGGAGAAAAGGACGAAGAAGAAGAGAAAAGAAGAAGAAGAAGAAGAGGAGGACGAGTAGGAAGAAGGAAGAAGAAAAAGGACTCGTTGTGCTTGAGGCTAAGTAACGTCTCTTTAGTTCAAAAGGATATACCTGGCTGATAATTTTTCAAAGTTAGCAAAATATCTGTTGCTATTTGATTTTTGAACAAAACTAACAAAAGTGTTTTCAACGTGAACAAAAAACATTAGGTTGCAACCCCCATGAGGCCACTTTCCTTTGAAAACCTTAGGAGGCTCGTGAGCCGTAAGAAGGATCGTAACGAGCCCTCCTTCAAACGTAGTGAATCCTTTAAAAGGATTTCGATTAGGAAAAGTTATTTGGATCGTGGCAAACGTCGTAACAAATTGCAAAAGAATTTGGAACCTGTGATAACTGCTCAACCATGTGTAGTAGCTTCATCAACACCAGCAACACCACAACCACCACCTGCTACTACAACAACAACAACAAGTATACCTGATCATCAAGAAAGTAAAACACAGTGTAGGATCAAAATCAAAGATCAACAACAACAACAACAACAACAGGAAGTTAGAAAGAAAGAAAACATTTCGTTAAATCGTGACGAATCTATCAGTTATGACGAATGGTTGCAAGGTGTTGAATCGTCATCACGTGAAAAACTTCATCAGGATAATAAAGTGGTGATCAAAGATATAAATAAAACTAAAATAACGAATAAACAATTTATTCAAGAACTTCATTCGAGTACCAATGATCTTACTGATGATTTAAATTCAGCTATTTTATCGTTGAAACCTTTTGGTCCCACTACCACTACTACTACAATTGTTAACAGTGATAACGATGATTGGATTTATTCGGATAAAAATCTACACCAATTGGATAATCATGGACAAACACGTGACACAATTTGTGTACCACTTGAAACTGGACCACCCAGTGTTAGCATAAGTCTTGGACGAGTTTGGAGAGATGCAGTACCTGTACCATATCCTTCCTCTTCCGGACCATCCGTTCATCATTCTTTGGACAGTGCATTGAAAGAAAGAAAATCAACTCAACCAACTGTTGCTAGAACCGTCTCGGCTCCAGAAAAAACCATTATCAAGGACAACAATTCTTCATCTTCATCGTCATTTGGTTTTTCACTTAGGTTCAGCAAACTGGCTGACTTCAGGGCAGGGTTATTATTCTTAGAATATTTTTTTTCATAAATTTTAATATTATTTTATAAAAACCGTAATGTGTTTGATGAAATTGACGAAAGAAAAATATAAAAAAAAAAAAAAAACAGAATTAAAGTGATATTAATTTATAATTAGAAAGTTTGAATGTTGAAATGGAATGATTAAATGAAAAATTAAATATATTAATATTTAATTATTATTAAATTAAAATAAAATAACAAGTGAAATTGAAATTTAATATTTAAATGATTGGTTTATTTTGAAACAAGATTTTAATTCATTTGTTGTGGTTATTTGTGGGTAATAGTAGTAACACGTAACATCTGGAGAGATTAGGTTGTCATAGAAAAAAAAGAAAATAGATTTAGGTCAATTTTAAATAGAAACACAGTTATTTAAATATGATCTTAAAAAAAAATTGTTTAAAATAATATAAATATATTTAACAATATAACAAACAATAATATTAAAATATTATTAAATTATCAAATAAAATATAATTCTGTTTTTTTTTTTTTTTTTTTAAATCTTTTTCCGTTGTTAATTTCAAATATAAACAACACTTTTGAATTTCAAATTAAAAATCATGAAAAAGAAAAAAACAAAAAGAAAAATGAAACTTAACTGTATACTTTAGAAGTACGAGAAATGGTGGATTCTTCCGAAGAAAAACATCGTCAAAACCATCACCAAGTGTCAGTACAGAAGGTTATTTTAAAAGAACAAGTTGTCAAAGAAGATCCAGTTCGAGAAAACGTGGAAAAAGGACATCGTCACAACGAACAACAACTTCATCTTCACAGAGAACATCTCAAAGATGTAAAAAAAATAGTTCTGAAGATCCTGTAGCAACTGCAACAACAAGAACAACAGGGGTGGTTGTGACAGGGGTTGGTTCAATTATAAGAGAAAACAGTCCAGTTTGGTTTGTGCCACCTGAAAGGAGACGTTCGAGACGTCAAAGAAGAGTTTGGCGTGAGATTCGTTATTTTCCTGAAAAAGAAGAAGAAGAAGGAGAAGAACAGGTTGACGATGAAGAAGAAACATTGATATTGAAAAAATTCGATGATTATTATTCGTCCAATAATTTATCGGACGATCAATTCGACGATCAGAAATTATTGCTATCCGGTGACTTTAACGAGAGGAGAGACGAGACGTTTAATTCACTCGTTTCCTCATCGTTAGGTTCGTTCTCGATTACGTCATCTTCATCGTCAGTATGTCCGGCACCAAAAATAAGCGATTTCAACGAGGACAAATTATTTTCGGAAGAATTAAGAAACCGTGCTGCTGGTGGCAATGATGGTGGTTTGTTAAGTAAACAAAATATTTGGAAACCATCAACATTTTCAATAATAAATACTGAAAATTATTTCAATAGCAGTCAATTTATTAATTATCTTGCTAAAAATACGTCATTGAATGATAATAGAAAACGTATCATCGTCAAAGAAAGATCTAGAAAGGATAGTAATTCGTATTACAGATATTTGAGTTCGACTGACAGTGAAAATGAATCTGTTCGACGTGACGATGAAGATGACGATGACGATGAAGATGATGATGATGATGATGATGATGATGACATAGATATAGATGACGATTATCTTTTTCAACAACGTCAGCAACATCTTAAAAGACAAAAATCTGGACAGAGAAGACGACCTTTAAGAAGAAAATCTCAACTACGTCGTGCATCTGGTCAGCCCGTTTTTCTCGTTCGCAAATGTTCGTCCTTGAGAAAACGACCCAGTAAGAAACCGCATACACACACATATATATTAGTAATAATTCTTTTGATAAGTATTCGTTTCGTACAACAAAATTATCGAATTTCAACAGATAAAATTGTTCAAGGACAACTTTTTGTTATCTTTCAAAATGTTAACAAGTTTTATTTTTATCTTTTAGGTATTACAAATATTTGTTATGTTTGACAAGAAATTGTTATCAAATCTATTTTTTTTTTTTAATCATTGAATAATCTTTTCAACAAATTTTAAATCTAATCTAAAATTTTTTTCAGTTTTTTTTTTAGGTTAGTTCTAAAATTAATTTAATTCTAATGAAACTATTTAATTTAGTGAAACTAACGTGCAATTTATAACAATGTTTTTCCTATTTTAATTTGTTAAAAAAATATTTGAGTTAACCAAATTAAAAAAAAAAACAAATCAATTTGAACAACAGTAAGAACAAACGTTGGGTTCAAATTTGGGTTCTGGTATTCAAATGAAAATTCAATGCCAAATAAACAAAAGAAAAAAAAGAAAAAAGAAACTAGAAGTTTTCCTTGACAAATTGTTGCAAATAATTAGGATGAAAATTTGAAGAACGTTAATGATGTTTTACTTAACACCCATTAAGGTTTTAACCATGGTAAATAATAACCCATAAATGGTGAATAGAATTTAGATACTAGTTTGTTTAAAAGCACCTATTGGTAATTGTAGATTTGCATTCACACGAAATAAGTAAAAAGATTCGTTAGTACTATGGTGTATGTGATGGTGTTGTAGAAAGATAGATAGAGAGACCCAGTTTCTTTGATCTTACATTGAAGTAGTAGTTTGAAAAAAAAAAAAATTGTGTCTCGGCCGTTAGACGATCGATTCAAAGTATTTTCTCGAGTTTACCAGGCGTGACTTTAACCATGCTAAGAGAGGGACGACCTGTTTTGCATCTTAGAGTAGTATGTTAACTGCCACGTGGATGAATATAGTTGAAATGCATAATCTTACTGGATTATCTATGGAAATTTATAAATTATAATATCAGACCACCCTATAGATACATTTACTAACTTATACATATGAATATATATATATATAGGTAGATAGAGTTAGATAGGTAAATAGGTAGATGAATAGATAAAAAGACAGTTAAAAAGGAATATATATATATATTCCTATAGTTATACAGTTTATTTATCTATTTATATATTTTTATATTATTTTTATTATATATGATATAGTAATGTCAAGATTTATACAGTTGCTTGATGTATTACCAAAATATTACCATATATATATATTCTAATTTAGGTTAATCATTATATTGTATAAATTATTTTAATACAGGTTAGGTTTAGGTTATTATACTGTATAATAATATACAGGTTTGGTTTAGATTACTGTATTGTATAACAATAAATAGGTTAGGGTTTATTAACCCCTGTATATTTAAATATAACAAATATATATTTAACATACCTTAACTGTAAAAGGTATATTGTAATATACAATATACAGGTTACATTTAAGTTATAATATTGTATAATAATATACAGTTTAGAAGAGGTTTAGGTTATTATATTATATAATAATATACAGTTTAGATTGAGATTATTAAATTATATAATAGCAAACCTAAATACATTGAATTTTTATCACATGTTGACTGTATAAATCTTGACATTTTCCAAATTTCTATCTTTCACTGTATACACATATTTTTATCTACTTATCTATCTACCTATCTATCTATCTATCTATCTAGCTATACATATTTGTGTTTAGAATATTTAGTGAAAATTAAACATAAAAAATAAATATGAAAAATATATTCCTGTTTCGATAAAATAGGGGGTGGACTTTTATTTCTCGAATCTGATGGTGGGGGTTGGGGATTCCCATTAAAATTTCACTTAATTATTCCCTGAAGCGTTGTTCCTTTTTTTTTTTTTTAACTCTCAGGATAAAGCTTTTAAAGTTAGAGATCGTTCAATGCAGGTACCCATATATGTCGGCACTGTCTTTATTGTTTCCCTCACCTTTTTTTTCCCTTTTTTTTTTTCCTTGTATTCAACGCCTAGTAGTGTCGTTGGTACGACCTCGTTTAACCGAACGTGATATATAGTTATACACATACTACATGCATATATATATATATATACAGTGATATATATATATATATATATATGTGCAACAGCCTAGAGTTCTCTCGTCTAACTTTTTTCTGTTCTTTCCCTTTTTAATGGGGGGCCCCGTAAATCGAGACCCGCAATTTTCGCCTCTTAAAGCAAACGCTATGCGCGTTTGAACTCCAACTACGTCCTTGAAACACACACACTTTTCTGGATAGAAAATGAAAGAAATGACACACACCTCTGGGTGTTTGTGTGTGTATGAGAAATTCGTAATATCAGAAAGTTAATCTTGTTTCTTTTTTTTTTTTTTAGATTATTATTTAGGACAGTTGAATATACTAATCAATGTATGCAATTACACACCTAATTGAAAAGCTTCAAAATAACTGTAAAATGAATTGTGAAATTGATTTTTAAAATGAAGTTGAATGTCTGTGAGAAAAATTCGTAATATCAGAAAGTAAATTATTTGTTTTTTAGAATATAATTAAGGACAGTTAATTACAGTTAATTATACTAATCGATTTATACAGTGAATACAATCAGACACCTAATTGAAAAGGTTTGAATTAACTGTAAAATTGATTTTTCAAATGAAGTTGAATGTCTGTGAGAAAAATTCGTAATATCAGAAAGTAAATTATTTGTTTTTTAGAATATAATTTAGGACAGTTAATTACAATTAATTATACTAATCGATTTATACAGTGAATACAATCAGACACCTAATTGAAAAGGTTTAAATTGTAAAATCAATTTTACAAATCATTTTTAAAATGTAGTAGAATCATACACATAGAATTTTCCTATTTTTTTGTTTTTTTTTTCATTTCTTTTTATTTTATTTCTAATCATTTGTTTGTTTGTTTATTTTACAGGAGACATAACACAAAAGGGCTATGAAAAGAAACGGACACGTTTGCTGCAACAATATGCATCTAAACAACTCGGTAAGTTTAAATATTAATTTTATATTTCTTGCTTCATTTTAAATATTTATCATTTATTATAATAATAATAATAATAATAATAATAATAATAATAATAATAATAATATTAATAAATAATATGGTGAACACGATTAGGACTGGAATGTTGAACTCGACTATTTATTTACGATTATTGATTTAAAAATCATAATTACGATAATAATTATTATAATTAACATTATAGGAGGTTGATTTTTAATTAATTAATAATTTTAATAAATAAAAATTATTAAATATTTAAATATATATATATATATTTATTTATTTATTTATTTTTACAAATTTATTTATATTGTTTCGTAAATTGTGTAATTTCTTTTTAAAGAAAAACAACAACAAATTTGTATTATTATTTTTCTTGTATAAATTTGTTTGAAACTAAAAAAAAAGTAAAAGATGTAAAAGAAAAAGGGAGGATGGGATTTCCGTAACATCCTCGATTACGCTTGTGTGTTAATTATGGTAACGCTTTCAATTTCTTTAACGTGTCGAAGTAAGCAACACATAATATCGTTTCTACCTTCCTGTCCTCCAAACGTGTTGTGTTGTATACCTAACTATCATGCCGATGATGATCATACTTGGATTGCGCCATCCATACGCAACGAGTTTCGTCGCGAGCAATATTAATCGCGTTCCGATTCTCAAGAGACAAAACCCACAAACACATACATTCACATATACATGCCCATATTCCCATATTCACACATGAACACATTCCCCCATATCCACACAATGTACACATTCTCCCATATCCACACAATGTACACATTCCCCCATATCCACACAATGCACACATTCTAGCACATTCACACAATGCACACATTTCCACATATTCACACATGAACACCTTTCCACATATTTACACATGCACACATTCACGTGTTCACACATGTATACATGCACAGATATTCACACATGAACACATGACACTTCACACATGCATACATTTACACACATGAATACATGACACTTGAACACATGTATACATTCACTCACACACATGAACACATGGTACATATTCACACATGCAGACGTATTTACAAATTGACATGTTATACATGCATACGTTAGTTACATAATTGAGATACATCAATGTTAAACAAGTTGATGAGTTAGTTCAGTTAGTTTGGATGGTTGGTTTGATTTGGTTGGGTTGGTTGGGTTGGTTGGTTTGCGATACGCGCGTGCACACAATGGTAGATGCAATCGTCTTAGTATAATTCTAATGATGAGAAAAAAAATAGGAAACAAAAGCGAAATTCAATGTAAAAAAGAAAAAAATAATAATAATAATAATAGTATGGGGGGTGGGGAGGGGAGAGTAAAAAGAAAGGAAAGGAACTATGAAGAAGTGTATGGAAAAATAAAATGGTAAGACGTGATCTTTCACAAATGCATTCGTTTCGTACAATTTTCTATTATCGTTGCATCTCGTAACGCTTTAAAACTCGCGCACAAAATTGGATTATGCAATTTGAACTATGATGAATCTTAAATTTTATCTCGATTATTCAACGAACTATTGTTAAATTCTTAATACAATTGTTTAATCTTGAAATTGTTTATTGTTTATTTTTATTTGTTAATCCTTTTTGAGTACTATGATTGCATATGATATGCGTTATTCAATAAAAATGCATATAATGCATTGATGATATGTATCATTGTTTATTGTTTTTGAATGTAATCGTATGAAAAAAAAAAAATGATATTATTTAAGAAGAATATAATTGTTTAAACAAATATATTGTGTAATATATGAATTTATTTTATCATAGTTATATTTATTTATTTATTACTTCATAGTTAGTTTGTGATAGTTGGACTATGAAGTTACAATATCACCAATAACCACTTTGCGTGCAATCGGGTTGCACCGTGCAGAATTTAACTGTACCTGCACGCGGAAGTGTCGCTTCCGCGTTATGCACTCGTTATATGCGACGTGGTGCATCTGCCGTTGTAGTTGTCCTCTTTGTCGTTGTCGTTGTCGTTTTAATGCGAATCGAACTTGTTATAATGACTTTTCTCTATTATCGAATAATATTATGCACTTTGATTTTCCCTTTCGTTTATATATAATGTAATAAATAACATATACAAAAAAATACGATTTTATTTTATATAAACACACAAAAAATACACGTGACACACACGCACAAACCTTCATACATGACACAAATGTACACACATTCAACATACACAACATACACATACATATTGTTGACCATCAACGAGTTATTTTCCTTTTGTTTTTTTCATGTTTATCATCATCTAATAATATACGTCACTTTTTTTTTTACAGTAAAGTAAACAACAATTTATTATTATTATTATAATTTCTTATTTTGCTAGTATATTTTTTTATTTCATGTTACTTTAAAATAATAATTATTCTGAAAATTGATAGTGATATTATAATTTATTTTTTTTTTTTTTTAATGAAATTTGTTTGAATGTTTTATTTAAATAAAAATAAAAATAAATTTATATTATACAAATTCGTGGAATAATAATTTATTTTTCTAATTATTATTTCATGCTTGGTCAGTCTTGTTACAAGTTATCTCATTAAGAAGAAAATTTATCACCAACTTTTCGTAGTATTTCCTTTTATTTATCGATTCAACGTTAATCTAAGAAAGAAAAAAAAAAGCATTTTTAAAAGTATATATAATCTATTCACAATAAAATTAATAATAAATAATACTTGTCGTGCGCGCAAGCATTGAATTCATTCAACATTTAAAAAGATGTCAGACAAGTTCGACGTTAGTTTCATAAAACTTTGACGACGCTATTAGAACGAACCGTTATACTAATAACAATTATACTTAAACGTGAATAGTAACTATATATATATATATATGTACAGGTGTTGTAAATATAAAACGTAAATAGAATGTTTAACATTTATTGCAAGTTGAAAGAAAAAGGATTAAGATTAGATAAAATCGTTAATAATAGTGATTATACAGTTGACTCAACAAAAACAAACAAAAAAAGAGCAATACTTGTATTTATTCTATCAACATTGTCATTGGTCAATAATATTTAATATAATTTGTTTATTAGTACAAATAATCAAGTATATATACATAAGATATAAACTATCCTATCTTTCAAGTTGGATGAAACTGCACACAGTGTGCAAAATTTTATTAAAATCGGTTCTGTAGTTTAGGAGCCCATTGCGGACAAACAACGTGACACATAATTTATATATATTAAGATAAGATATATATAATATATATTTCATCAATTAACAAAATAATTCCGAATCACATAAAACTAAAAACGTAATAATCCAAATATCACCCTCTTAATAGAAAAAAAATTGTACAATCATAAAAAAACGTTTAACTAACATCCACTCAAGAGAATTGGAACGCGTAGAGAGGTTAGGTTCAACCAAATAAAATAAAAAATACCAAAAAAGAAAAAAAAATATACCTCACGCAATTTTAACATAAATAAAAATCTAAACGAATGGGGGGATAGGAAAATAAAATATAAAAAGGGGTTTAGAGTTAGAAAGATATAACGGGTGTAGAAATTTTCTAGTAGAATTTTCGCGTATGACTTCTTAGGGGTTGCTGGAAATGGCGGCATATCTGGCAATGATGGAGACATTGGTAGTGGTGATGGTGTTGGTGTTGGTGGAGGTGGAGGCGGAGGGGGTTTGGGTGGTGTTGGTGGAGGAGGTGGAGGAGGAGGAGGACGACCACAGCCACGTGCACGACGCACGCAACGTCGTGTCACGCACAACGAGAAACGCTATCATTCAGGTAGCGTCACGCATCTCATGATTTTATTATTATATTTACTATTATTCTCTTATTTTCTTTCTCTCTCTCTCTCTCTCTCTCTCTTTCTCTCTATCTCTTTTTCATTCTATTTCTCTTTCATTTTTTTTTATTTCATTATTTAATTCTATTTTATTTTTAACCTTTAATTTATCCTCCCTTTTAATTTCGTCGTCAATTTGACTTGTTTTCAACCCCCACCCCCCACTCCAACTCATTTTCTTTTTGATACATGTATATATATATAAACTTCCTGTGCCCCACCATGCGTTATTGTGGACTACGTGAGTCAAAATATAACATTGTCGTATAAATAAATGCTAGGTTATGTTGAATTGTTTTGCAAACTCATCGAAATCTATGACCAACAGATGGCACTGAACTTAACTGTATGTTTTTCTTGTTATTTTTAAATTATATAATTATTTTAGAAATAAATTAATGTAATAGAAACTTAGCTGTATATTTTGACAATGTTGTATCAAAATTTGAAGACAATCGGTAAAGTAGTTTTGGAGATTACCGATTGGGCACAAATGAAATCTACATTTTTATATATATATATACGTATATATGTGATTGTTTTTTATCTTGATTGTTTTTTATCTTTTGATATAACTCAATTAGACTAATTTTCTATCTGTGTATCCTTTTTTCTCAACTCTTTCTCCCCATTCTTTTTTTATTAACTAATTTAATTCAAGGTGAAATATCGACGGCACGCATGCAACAAACATCGGTCGATAATTTGAATTATATAACTCGAATAAAATACATAAACCTTGTTTCGAAATTTAATTACGATTAAAATTACACCTATCTATCTTTCTATCCTTTTTTCTTTTTTTAATTTTTTTTTATCGTGACGACCATATTTTTTTCTTCTATTTTTTTTGTTCGAGTATTCGATTCCAATATAAAATTGTCTGTGATTTAATCTTCGCGTGATAGGTTAACAAGAAAAGAAAAGAAAAGAAAAAGAAAAAGAAAAAAAAGTAGAATGAGATAGATAAAATGTCGAGACGTCGTGAATTTAAAAACTAACCTAACTTTCCACTCATCCTTTTTTCCCTCATCCACCTAATCTAAAAAGACACAAGTGTAAAATGATATGAATTTTTATAATTCAAACATGAATTCTTTTCTTTATTAATTTTTTTTTTTTATATGTCTTCCTTCCTTTCTTTCTTTTTAATTTTTTTTTTTTTTAATTTTTTGCAAAGAGTGAAGTAAAAAAAAAAATGGCCGTAGAAGAATAAGAAATGAAAAATGCAACGTGAAAAATTGGAGAAAGAAGATCAAACAGCCAAAACATTTGTTGTGAATGGCTGTCAGAATTTTTGCGCAGATACATGCGCGTGTGCAAAATCAAGAGTTGGAGTAGGGGGTGGTTTTAGGAGTGGGGGACGGGTTGGTGGTGGGGGAGATACTCAACGTATAATTGCAGTGCCGTTGTCCTCGCCTTAATTAAGCATAGAAAATCCCTCCGAGCCACCAGCAGCTTCGTGCTTTTGCTCATAGTACTCTTCTGCTCAACGAACAATGTTTTTTTTTCTTCTTCTTTTTATTTATATTTTTTATTTATTATTTTTGCACGATCTTGCGTCTCTTTCTTTTCTCTTTCTATTTTTCTATTTTTCTATTTGTCTGTCTAATTTACTTTGTTCATACGAAATATTATTTTATTATGTGTTTATTAATACGATATTAAATTATTTTTCATATGTGTCACATTTGTTTTTATTGTTTTAAATATATATTATAATGTAATTTATTGTTATTTTATATTCTATGTAAAGTTTGCTACGTGTAGGATATGTAAATAACATTTAATATGATAATTGGATTGGGCCAAGCAAGTAGTGTAGAGTCTTTGTAGGAATTTTTGTGAAAGTAATTTATATTTAAAATAGGTAACGTTGGTACTATTATTATTATTATTATTATTATTATTATTATTATTATTATTATTATTATTATTATTATTATTATTATTATGTTTCTTCTTTCTTCTTTGTATTTAAATTAATTTTATATTGATAATAAATTTTAGATTTTATTTATATATATATTTTACAATTTAAAATAGGTAACACGTTGCTAATATATTTTTATTCTTTTTATTTGAATAAATTTTATAGTATTTTATATTTATAATAAATAAACACACATTTTAGGATTTTATTTATATATATATATATATATTTCACATTTTTTATTGTATATTTAAATTATGAAATATAAATTTAATTTTCTAAATAAATAAATATAAGTAAGTAAAAAAAAAAAACATGAATATTACTTCATAATAAATAATCAACGTTACTTATACACATATATATATATACACCAACCCAATCAAAATAATTATCATTTTAATAATAATTAGAAATATATACACCATAATCATAACCATAAACGTAATATAATCCATTGGTAAATAAATCATTTTCCATCTCTTTTATTTTCATTTCATTTTATTGTTTCAAATAAAAATTCATCATTGCTTGCTTGCTTGTAAAATTATATTGTAAATGTACTGGTACGACTTTGGGTGATGATGATAATGATAATGATAATGATGATGATGATGATGATGATGATGATAATGCCTTTTGCACCTTTAGATACCTTTTGTAATTTGACTTAGTCAGGCGGTAGCCGAGAGAGACCGGTTGTTCCACCTTCGGGTGACTACCAAGATCATCGTACAGGCCACAACCCATCGACATTCTTTGAGACTTGTAACCAAACCCACCGTGTGTGCTTCGTGAAATTTTTGCGATCAATGTAGCAAACCCTTTTAAAACTATTATACTTTCATCCCTTCCCATCCCTTCCCATCCCTTCCCATTCCTTCCTATTCCATTCCCATCCCCCTTTTCGTTGTATTAAAACGTACTTCATTGAAGTACACATAAACAACATTAATTGATTCAACCCAGCAAATAACAACACGTGAGATCTATGAGATGTTAAATTTATCAAATTCAATTGTTTATGCCTACTTGAAAAGCCTAGATTTAACCTCGAAGCTAAAACTGTCTTCATTTTCGTAAAAGAAAAACGGAATTACTTTCTAAACAAGCCAATAAATCTAATATTGCAATTGTCCAATTACCACCACTACCATCAATATCACTTCCTCTATTTTTCTGAGCTTTTTCTACGCCACTGTCGTCAGTTGTCGTCGTCGTCGTCGTCGTCGTGCACACGGAAAATCGATAAAAGTGAAATCGTTATCGCAGCTTCCCGAAGGTGGAACGACCGGTCATGGATGGCGCAATTGAATGTTTATTCGGTGTACCTTGAGAAAACTTTATATTTTATTTTCTTTATTCATTTATTCTGCCCCCTCTTCTTTTTATTTATTCGTAAATAATCATTTTTTATTATTATTATTATTATTATTATTATTATTATTATTATTATTATTATTATTAAATAAGAACAAAACGTATATTATTTTTATTTCATTTTTTATTTCATTTTCAACGGGTACACGAATATAACAACGGTGAATGAATTTTTTAACCCATTCGAGACCACGACTTTGTTCGAACACGGTTCAAAGAGCCATTTCTTATTTTTTGTTTATTATATTGCCAAATATTGTTTGTTTATACTTTAAAGATACTACTTATACCAAAACAAAGTTTTATTTCAACTTACTTTAGTCAAAATAATTAATAATAGTTAAGTTGTATGATGGCACGCACGGTGTGCAAGTGAAGAGACTGCAACTTTGTTCGAACATGGTTCAAGTAGCCATTTCTTTTTCTATTTTTATTTTATTGCTAAATATTGTTTATTTATACTTTAAAGATACTACTTATACCAAAACAAAGTTTTATTTCAACTTACTTTACTCAAAATAATTAATAATAGTTGAGTTGTATGATGGCACGCACGGTGTGCAAGTGAAGAGACTGCAACTTTGTTCGAACATGGTTCAAAGAGCCATTTCTTTTTCTATTTTTATTTTATTGCTAAATATTGTTGATTTATACTTTAAAGATACTACTTATACCAAAACAAAGTTTTATTTCAACTTACTTTACTCAAAATAATTAATAATTGCAAAGTAGTATGACTGCACACATGGTGTGCAAGTGGGGTCTCAAATGGGTTAATTAATACGTTTGTTTTTACATACATATATATATATTAATTAAAAAAATAAATAAATCTAAATGTAGGATTATTAAAAATAGAAGAACAAAAAAATTTATTACTAGCTTCGTTGGATAAACCAAAAAAAAAAAAAAAAACAGAAAAAAAAAAGAAACAAAAATCCTTATAGAAATTCCTCTCTCTTTTGTCTATGTGCCGTTTGTTGTTGTTGTGTTGCATGCAGGAGGTCGGCTAGTACCTGGTGGGATCGCCAGTCCTCCGGGATCTGGCGGCTCAACCGGAGGAAACACCGGGAATTCAAACTCGGCTGCTGCTAGACGCGGTAATCGCAGACTTACTCGCAATGAGAGCCGCTATCATTCCGGTGAGTAAATTAATCAAAATCCCACCTCCCAACCCCCAACCCACGTATGTGCTGATTAGTTTTTCAATAATTCAGACAATTTTTTTTTCTATTTTTTTTTAAATATATTTAATAACAAAAAAAGAATGAAAATACAACTAACAACATTAACTCTTCTTTGTTTAGTCTTTAAATTTGTAATTTTGTTTGTTTTTTTTTTATAAATAAATTAGGTGACCAAAAAAAAAATTATACACCCTGGTAAAAAGAAAAAAGAAAAGAAAGAATTAATAATTTAAATAAAAATGTTTTGTTAAACAGCTAGTTTAATTTAAATCAATAACTTTTCATTTGTAATTTTTTTTTTTTTTTTTTATAAATCAAAAGATTAAATTTTCCAAGTTTATTAATGTTGATAAGATAAATTCCAATGATTCACAAGGTGTGATACATTAGTTAAAAATAAATCGTAAAAGATAATATTTTTATTATTTAATGATTGTAATATTATCGTACCTTAGGGGTTCATCGAACTTATTATTCACTTATCGATAACTATAATTATCTATTTTGTTCTATTTTATGTTTCTCATAATCAGTATCGATGTTGAGTAGATAAATTTGAAATGAAAAATTGAATAGATGACTTTAAAATAAAAAATATTTTTTTATTTAAAATAATAAAAAGCAAACGTGGTACGTGTGGTTTAATGTTAAAAACAAAAATAAACTTAAATAAATTTAATATTAAAAATAAATATCTACAAATAAATAATCAACATTAAATATTAACATTAATATTGAGGTTAGTATTCCAATTACTGTATAAGTGTATAATATTCAAAAAAAATATTTACAGATAAATGATCAACATTAAATATTAAAATT